TATTTCTGGATGTCATGCCCCTCTTCTTATTTCAGTGCGTCCACTGGCCCCCCACTGGGCCGCTCACATACGTCGGACCATGATTTGCAGCCCTCCCCACGCCCCCCTGTCGCACGCCCCCGACAGGCCCGTGGTCGGCTCGCCCCCAAGGAGGGCCCGGGGGGCGCCCAGGAGCAGCCAGGGCGTCGAAGAAGAGAAGCGGCATAGGCATACGGTCGGGAACGTTTGGATAGCGTGGCGCGCCGCCGGTTTTGGCCCACCACGCTTAGGCGCGACACGCTATCCACATCCTGGTCCCGAGGCGTGAATGTCCCGAGCCTTTCTGGGCCTCCCGCCCCACGGGGCGGAGCGACACTCGATCCGCCCGCAGGGGCATATCGTAACGTCTCGCCGGGGCCGCCACGAGGACGGTGCTGAGCAAAAGCTCCCGACCGTTATCCAGACCTGGGAAAGGGGGTCCGAGCAGATGGGGTCGGAGGGTCGCGCCGCATCGCCGCTGCATCGGCGATGCGGTTCGATGTGGAGCCCGCTCTTCTCCACGCGGACGTCGCCGCTAGTTCGCCGACGTCGCCGATAGGTCGCCGATGCATCGGTGATGCATCGTCGGTGCGGCGTGGCCCTCCGACCCCAGCTGATCGGACCCCATGTGGGAGGCCTCTGCACAAGCTTCTGGAGCCCCCTTGCGGAGTTCCTGGATCTGCGCTGGACGCCCCCAGGGGCGCCTCCGGCGCCGCCCCTGGCGCGCTCCGCGCGCCAGGAAGGAGGGCCCAGCGCGGGCCCAAGAAGTCCGCACGGAGTTCCGCAAGCTTCTGCTTGTGCTGTTTCCCTCGATCCCGGAGGTCCGCGCGGGCCTCCGCAGGGTTGTGCTTCTGCCGTGCTCGCTCCTCCAAGGCAGGCCCTGCGCCAGGCCAGCGGAGGATCCTCCTCCTCCTCCTCTTCCTCCTCCTCCTCCTCCTCCTCCTCCTCCTCCTCCTCCTCCACCAGAGCTCGTCAAGGGTTGGCCGCTGGAGCTCCAGGGGGCCCGTCCGACGGCTCCTGAGCCCTCCTGGCAGAGGCCCATCTCGGTCCGATCGGCCCGATTCGGTCGGACCGACAGGGGCCCTGCCCGCTGCAGCGCCGACTGTATGCTGAGGAGTCTCGGCGATGAGGTCGTCGCAGCGAGTCCCGGCAGGAGCCGCGAGTGCCCTTGCCGACCAGCCCACGCGTCCCTCAGGATGCATGGCCATCTTGCTCGCTCGCTTGCTCGCTTGCTTGCTTGCTTGCTTGCTTGCTTGCCTGCGATCCGCTTCGATCTCGATGTCGGCCGGCCCGAGCCGTTTCGGCCGCGACGTGCGGACGATTCGTGGCGGCCCCGCGGCCTGCTTGGCGCGCTTGTGCATCCCGGCGAGGCCGATCCGATTCGATGTCGACCCCGTGCCGACGCAGCCCCGCTTCGATGCACGCGCAGGTCGAGGCCCCGAAGGGAGCCGGCCGCCCGCGCGGACAGGCCGGCGTCAAGGTCCACAACGGCTCCTCGCACGGCAGGGGCGTCTACACCTCCAGCGTGGAGACCGAAGAGCACCCCAACGGTACAGTCGGGGCGCTGAGGAAGGAACCCTTTTCGTTGGGGAGGGGCTCGGTGCTCCTTAGTTGCTTTGCAGTTCGCCTCTGGTTTTGCTTGGGGGTTCGATGGGACATCGAATTTTCACCCATGGGAAAAGGGGGCCTCCTTCCTGATTTAGGGTTCCTTAGGTCGACGCCCCGACTGTATAACTGTATGCTTTCGGAGCTCCGTGCGGAGTTCTGGGCTCTGCGCCGGGCCTCCCCGGCGGTGTCTCCGGCGCCGCCCTCGGCGCGCTCCGCGCGCCAGGGCACGTCGCGGATCCAAGAAATCCGCGCGGAGCCCCGAACATTGATGATTCAGAGCGTGAATTACCTACCCCGCTTTCGCTTCCAGGCAAAACCAAGTCATACCACGCGCCTCCTCGTCAAGCGGCCTGACCAGTACAGGCTGCAATTTGGCATCGTTTGGTATCTCTTGGAAGCGAGGGTGGTCAAAAGCGAGGTAGGTTTGCTTTCCCCCTAATGATGTTCGTGCAGTTCTTCTGTCCGTCGCTGCGGTCGGGAGCTTTTGGGCAGCGTGTCGCTCGAGCCGCCGGTGCTGGCCCGCAGCGCTGCGGCGCGGCACGCCAGCCAAGTCGCATTCCCCAGGCGTCCACGCGCCGAGCTCCGTCCGCGCCTCGCGCCCAGCGGAGCGGAGCGACACGCCGTCCGCCTGCAAGGCTCAGCGTGTCGCCCGGGCCGCCGCCGCGGCGCGCTGCGCAGAAGTTCCCGACCGCACGTGTAAGTACGCAGTCTCCCTGTGCTCCTCCAGGAGAGCGCGTGGCTGTCGGGGCAGTTCTGCTCAGCGCCCCGCATGCTCGTCTGCGGCGTCCTGGACGACGCGGTGACGCTGACGGCCGCCTACAGGCTGGGGAACTTCATGGTGACGGCGGAGTCCACCTCCGTGCGGCACGTCGGGGACGCGGTGGGCGGGGAGTCGGGGCACAACAAAGAACCCCGCCAAAACTGAGCGCACTTTTCGGGAGGGCCCCTCGGGGGAAAACCCACCGACCTCTACATGAGCACTTTGGTTGTGGTTGTGGTCGACTGGGCCATCCTGGGACGCCACATCGACCAGAAACCAGCACTAAGCTGGTTTCGGGGTTCTGACGATTCCTGGGGTGCGCAAGACATCTCACTTCCGACTCAGAAGTTTTCCACGTCCGACCTCCACTTGTCGATTTCCACTTCGCTGACCGACATTCAGCGTCCAACTTCCGACTCCCACCATCCACCCACAGCTGACAATATCCAACCTTCCACCTCCAGCCTTCGACCTCCACCGTATCGACCTCTCGCGTCGTGCGGCCGATCGCCAGCCTTCAGCTCCAGACTCACGGCAATCACCGCCAGTTACCACCCCCCAGGCTTGCACCTCCAGCTCTCGACTTCCAGCCTCAAGGGCATGACCTCCAGCTCAGGGGCTTGCACCCTCCAAGCTCAGCATGACCTCCAGCCCAGGGCATGACCTCCAGCTCAGGGCATGACCTCATGCACCCTCCAGGCCTGCACCTCCAGCTCTCGACCTCCAGCCTCAGGGGCACGACCTCCGGCTTCACGGGCAACACCCGATGCGCCGCACCGGCGCCGCGCCCGCAGCGCACCCTGGACGGTGCCCGTGTGCGGGCGTGCCTCGTGCTTCGCAGAGCATCCCTCCGGAGGACGGGAGAGGGAGGAGGGAGGAGGGAGAACAGGAGGGGGCGGAGGGAGGAAGAGGGAGGAAGAGAGGGGGGGAAGGAGGGAGGAAGAGGAGGAGGAGGAGGAGGAGGAGGAGGAGGAGGAGGAGGAGGAGGACGAGGAGGAGGGCAGCGGCGCCACGGGCACGGCGCCCCTCCGACGACACGGCCAGGCACGCCGGCTCTCGGCGTGTCGCACCACGCTCCGCAGCGCCGCGCCCACCGCTGCCCGATGCCGAAGCGTCGGCGGCGCGAGGGCGAGTCCCAGCCCCGCGCCCCGCGGAGCGGAGCGGCGCGCGGTCGGCTCGCAGGGCACGGCGTGCCCCCCATGCCGCCGCCGCGACGCGCTGGAAGGCGGAGCTCGGGAGCGCCGCAGCGCCACGGGCGCACGGCGCCACTTCGGGGACGTCGCCATGCCCCGTCAGGGGCGGGGGGAGCCCTCCCGATGCATCCCTCTCTCTCGATCTCTCTCTCTCTCTCTATTTCTCTCTCTCTCTCTCTCTTTTCTCTCTCTCTCTCTCTCTCTCTCTCTATATATATATGTATATCATGCAGTGAGCATGTATGTATATATATATATATATATATATATAGATACAAGACTGCACTGGCGCTGCGCGCCATGCACCTTGGTCCTTGAGTTTCGCAAGCTAGCGGCGTACGTGCGTGCGTACATGCGCGCGCATCTGCGCCCATACGTACACGTTGCATTTGTGAACAGGAATGTACGCGTGCAAGGGTATGTACACGTATACGCAAATCGTTTGCGCAGCCCTGGGCGCGCATGCACATGCGCATCTTGGAAAGTCTGCAAGAATGTCTCAGGCGAAGAAAGCGGGAACACTATGGAGCAATGCACTTCCGCAGTCGGAGTTGCGAGGAAATTCAAAGCGAAGCGGGTTCGACCACTGCTTCTTCCTCATCCCTTTCCCCTTGCTTCGTTTGCTAGCTGGGTGGTAATCGTTACTTCGCCTCCGCGCTCCTTTATCTGCTCCTCGTTCTATTTGTCCTCGTTTTCTTCTGTGCCCGTTTCTTTTCCCCCCTTCCTCCTGCTTCTCCCCCTGTTTCTCCTCCTCAGTCCTGTGCCGATTGAGCTGAACCGGAAGAGCTGAAGAGGATGAGGAGGAGGAGGAGGAGGAGGAGGATGAAGACGAGGAAGAGGATGGGGACGACGACAACGACGACGACGACGAAGAAGGCGACGACAAAGAGAAGGGATAATGAGAGGGGGAGACCGCTGTGTTGGGATCTCGTGGTACACCTCTCGGGGGCCTCTGGGAGGCAGTTTTGAAGCCTCTTGGGGGCTGTTTGTGGGCCTCTTGGGATCTTTTTTGGACCTCTTGGGGCCTTTTGGGGGCTCCTTGGGGCCTCTGGGGGGCCTCTTGGGGCCTCATGGGGCCCTCTTGGGGCCTCTCGGGGCCCGCTCGCGGCGGAAAACTTAATCTTTGGGCGCCCTCTTGGGCCTCTCTTGGGGCCGTCTTGGTGCTCTCTTGGGCCGCCTTGGGCGCCTCTTGGGCGGTCTTGGAGCCCTCCTGGACTGTGTTGGGGCCTTCTTGGGGGCCTCTTGGGCAGTACTGGGGCGATCTAGGGAGCCTCTTGGGCCGTGTTGGAGCGTGGGGAAGCGGAAAAAACGAGAAGGCCAAAAACATCGAACAACACGCAGGAAAATCAACCATCTTAGCCTCTCGGGGATCTTTTGGGAGGCCTCTTGGGGGTCTCTTGGGGCATCTTGGAGGCCTCTTGGGCAGTCTTGGGCCCACATTGGGCGTCTTGGGCCGATTTTTGGGTGTCTCGGGGCCCTCTTTGGCCGTCGTGGGGGCTTCTTTTTTCGCGTCGGACTCGCAGGACAGACCTGCCTGGGGGGTCCAGGAGGACCGGAGATCCACGGAAACACTCCCCTGGTAGACAGCCGAAAACAAGAATAGACAGTTTTAGAAATTCTGAGCTTCCCGTTGAGGCGCCGTGCGCACAGTATCTATTAGTATCTATGTTTTAGAAATAGACGCTTTTAGAAATTATCGTGCTCCCGCTGAGGCCCGGTGGTCATAATATCTGAAAATATCTATTTCGGACAGTGTCTAAAAATTGTTTTGTGCATCGGCTGTGTTGCAAGGTTTTCGTGTCTATTAGTGTCTAACTAGTATCTACTTAGTATCTATTGTTGAGCAACCGTATCTATTTTGAAAGCACGAAGTGGCGACCATAGTAGAGCTGAGAAGACCAGCTTCAACCAGTCCACGACATTCAATCGAAGGTGGCGTGGATGCGTGCACGTGAACCTCTGCATGGCCCTGTATGCATGTGACGATGTGTGTATGTGTATGGGTGCGCGCGGAAGTATATGGCGTACGTGCGCGCGCGGCGTGTGTGTGTGTGTATTAGTGTGTGTGTGTGTGTGTGTATGTGTGTGTGTGCGCGTGTTTGTGTTGTGTTGTGTTGTGTTGTGTTGTGTTGTGTTGTGCTGTGCTGTGCTGTGCTGTGCTGTGCTGTGCTGTGCTGTGCTGTGCTGTGTTGTGTTGTGTTGTGTTGTGTTGTGTTGTGTGTGTGTGTGTTTGTGTGTGTGCGTGTGTCCGTGTGTGTGTGCGTGCGTGCGTGCGTGCGTGCGCGCGTGCGTTCGCGCGCGCGTGCGTGCGCGCGCGTGCGCGCGTACGCTTGTGTGTGTGGAGGGTCTTGAAGGGCCCCAAGAGGGCGCCTGGGGTGAGTAAACACAAAGCTTCGAGTCATATACACTGCTGAGGCCCGCGTGGGCCCCTCTCGGACCCTTTCTTCGGCCCTCTTGGGGTACTCAGGGGGCCCTCCGGGACCCTCCATGAATCTCGAAGGGCCCCTAGACGGTTCCAAGAGGGTCCGAAAGGGTTCAAGGGGTGAGTGAAACCACAGCCTCGAGTCATGTACACCGCTGGGGCCCTCGTGGACTCCTCTTGGGTTCCTCTTGGAGCCAGTTGGGGCCTCCCGAGACCACGCTGGAGAGCCCCGAAAATGCTTTAAGAGGGCCCCCACGAGGGCTCCAAGGGGGTCAACCCCCAGTCGAAATAAAGGCACGCGACCAACTCGCCAACTCGCCATCCTTCCTCCTCGTCCTCGTCCAACTCGCCATCCTTCCTCCTCCTCGTCCTCCCCCTCCTCCCTGCTCCTCCTCCTCACTGCTTCCTCCTCCTCCACCTCCAGCGCCGTCTCGCAGGGTCCCGATAAGGCTCCAAGGAGGGCCCACGAGAAGTCAAACCGAAGTCACGCGAGTGCCCTTTTGATGCCCTATTGAGGCCCTCTCGGGGCCTTCAAATGCCGTTACGGAGAGCCCCAAGAGGGCTCCAGGGGAGGGCCACAGAGATCCAGGAGTGGCCGTCTGTTTTTTTTTATGTGTAGCACCCCGCAATTGCGGATAAGAGTGAGGGGGCGGGCGCGGGCGACGCGGGCGTTGTCGAGCCGGCGGACCTCGTGGCCCCCACCTTCCTTGTCGATGGCGCTCTCCTCCTCCTCCTCCTCCTCCTCCTCCTCTTCCTCCTCCTCCTCTTCCTCGTCCTCGTCCTCATCGTCATCGTCATCCTCCTCCCCCACCTCGTCCTCCACCTCCTCTTCTTCCTCGTCCTCCCTCTCCACCCCTCGTCCTCTCATCATCGTCCTCCCATGGTCGTCCTCCCCCTCATCGGCCTCCATCATCGTCCTCCCATTGTCGTCCATCATCATCATCATCATCATCATCATCATCATCATCATCATCATCATCATCAGCGGCATCATCATTATCATCATCATCATCAGCATCAGCATCAGCATCAGCATCGTCATCATCATCATCATCATCATCATCATCATCCTCTCCCCATCCCCCTCCTCGTCCTCCTCCTCCCCCTCCTCCCCTCCTCCCCCTCCTCGTCCTCCTGCTCCTCCTCCTCTTTCTCCACATTCTCCTTACATCCTCTCTTCTTCCGCGTTCTCCTCGTCCCCTGTTTACTCCTCCTGCCTCCCCCTCTTTTCCCAAGATAACTGCAACGCAATCTTTTTTCCACTTTATGCTCCCCGCCTTCTCTGATCAAGGCAACTCGCCAGGGCAAAGTTGCTGGACGGGCTGGTGTGGATGCGCGGGGCTTGAAGAGGTCCTTGCGGGCTCAGACGGCATGCAAAAATCCGCCGCCGCGCTTGTGCGGCATTGGTTTGTTCAGTGAACGTGGTTTAGGTCGCGGGTGGGTCGCGGGCTCTCCACCTCCACCTGGAAGGAATGCAAAAGCAGCCCGCCGCAGGCGCC